GCTCGTTTTTTGGGGTCAACAGATTTGTTGTATTCCCATCCAAGGCTATTGTTGGTGTATACATGCTATTGTTTAATTTTGACGTCTGAATGTGCCCTTAAGAATTGTGGCTACAGCTGCAACATGAAGGCAAGACATGGATGTTCCATATTCAATAGTGTATGACACGGCAATGATCTTGAGGCACTTTTAAGAGAGAAGATGCTTCACTTAATACCCGAAGGCTTGTTCCAAATATTTTGGTTTTGCTCAGGATTAGGTAGACTATGATTAATCAACTCAGAATTTTCATCATTGAATTCATATTTGGGAGAACGTTGATGTACATGAAGAGGGAATGGGCGTTCTAGTCTGAATATAGAGAAATCAATGTTTTTAGAGAAAAAAATGCTTTAGATTGTCATGGGATTTTAGCAATTTTGTGATTTAAAGTATGTTACGTGTCACGTCGGATTTTCGTCATCCACATGGCACATTTCGTTAGTTAAAGTTGACAGAAACTAAATGGATGATGAATGGGTAAGTAATTGGATAGTTGGGTGAGCAACAAGTTATATTTTATAATTCAATAAGTAATTAGTAATGTAAGTTAAAGTTGGGTGAACATTGATTAAATTTACTCACTACTTGTCGGTTTGAAGAATATATTTCACTAGTCGCTGAACTTTTTCCTATATTACTAGAATACTAATGAACTTTAATTTGTTTCTCTATGGTAACTGGACTATTAAATGTGATATTTAGGATGGGCATTTTTCGAAATCGAACCTCATGAATTGGAATCATAAATGTGATATTTAGGATGGGCCTTTTTTGAAATCGAACCTCATGAATTGCAATCGGCGTTTTGGTTTGGTTTGAAAGGTCCATGGTGTCTAATGGTTTTATTTATAAAATATTCGAAATTTAATGAATAGTTTCGATTCTTAAAATACTCGAATTGAAATCTAAGGAAGAATTGAATTTTCATTTTTTAAAGAAAAAAGATTATTCTTTTCAAACCCACGCACTCCCAACAACTCTAATCTTAAACTGAGACGCCGTTTGATAAGAGATTCTCTTGAAGACAATTCACAATTCCAACATAAAGTCAAAGCTTACAAACGCCAATTTGATCGCCACCAACCTTGTAACACCCCGAGTTTCGTGAATCGAATTGTCACGTCATCGTCTTTTGTAACTGATTTAACATTTTAACTAAAAGGTTTGTGAAAAATAACTAAATATTAAAACATCGCATTTATAACGGTAAAACCTTGTCGGCAACAAAATTCATTTGATTACTTAAAAAAAATCGTTTAAACTTCAAAATTTAAGTTTGAAATAACGGGAACAACAAAATAAGTTCATAATACGTAAATTTCAAAAGTAAATAACTTCGACTATTAATTTATGCCACCACTACCCATCACAGTGATATTTAGGATGGGCCTTTTTTGAAATCGAACCTCATGAATTGCAATCGGCGTTTTGGTTTGGTTTGAAAGGTCCATGGTGTCTAATGGTTTTATTTATAAAATATTCGAAATTTAATGAATAGTTTCGATTCTTAAAATACTCGAATTGAAATCTAAGGAAGAATTGAATTTTCATTTTTTAAAGAAAAAAGATTATTCTTTTCAAACCCACGCACTCCCAACAACTCTAATCTTAAACTGAGACGCCGTTTGATAAGAGATTCTCTTGAAGACAATTCACAATTCCAACATAAAGTCAAAGCTTACAAACGCCAATTTGATCGCCACCAACCTTGTAACACCCCGAGTTTCGTGAATCGAATTGTCACGTCATCGTCTTTTGTAACTGATTTAACATTTTAACTAAAAGGTTTGTGAAAAATAACTAAATATTAAAACATCGCATTTATAACGGTAAAACCTTGTCGGCAACAAAATTCATTTGATTACTTTAAAAAAATCGTTTAAACTTCAAAATTTAAGTTTGAAATAACGGGAACAACAAAATAAGTTCATAATACGTAAATTTCAAAAGTAAATAACTTCGACTATTAATTTATGCCACCACTACCCATCACACTCGATCGTCTCCGGAATCTGCAAATATTGTTAAAATAACGGAATGAGTATTTCGATGAAATACTCAGTAGATTCATCGCCGATAATTAATTTACAGAATAATTGAACACGTAATCATGCAATTCATATCGTGACATCATCATCATAAGCTCATTTTCTTGAAAATCATAGGCTTTTTAAAAAAATATAGGGTGTGGGTAGTCTTATCTCGTGCATTTAAGCACATACGTCATGCATAACGTTCTCATCTTATCTCATTAATCGTTCGTACGTTTCGTCTAGCCAAAATAGAAATTAGGTTTTGAATTAGTATTCCGAAATTTAAAATTTAAAGCGATAAAATAAAGTTTAGGGACCTAATTGGATATTTATTAAAACTGAATTTGACAAATATAGGGGCTGAAAATAATATTTTCAAAGTAATGGGGTTAAATGTGGGAAATGGGAACTCTAGGGACTCATTTACTAAATATTGAAATATTGGGACTGAGATAATAATTTAAAATGATATAAAATAAAGTGCAGGGGCTTAATTGGAAATCTATGAAAACTGAAAATAAAATTTAAGGACTGAAATTAAACTTTTCTAAAATAATGGGCTAACTGCTGAAAACAGAAATTTTTAGGGGCTGATTTATTAATTACTGAAACTAAAAAAATAAAAGTTTAAGGACTAAAATTAAAAATATAAAACCTAGGGGCTGATTTCTTTAAAACAGAAACTGTAGGGATTTAAATAAACACTTTTAAAACTTGGGTGGCTAGGGGTTAATTTCTAAAATTAAAACAAATTTAAAATCAAAAAAATATATATATATCTCTCTCATTACAGAGAGAGAGAGAGCTCCAAGAGGAGGGGAAAAGGAGTCCCCCCTCCTCCGATTCTACAACCGACCGTTCGATCGGTGGCAGCGCCACCACACGTGGTGGCGTCGGTGCTCGTGGGGCACGCACGGTTCGAAAACCGGCGCAGGAGGGTTCGGGTTCATGGCTCCTTGGTGGCAATCAAGCTCGAAAATGGTTTGAGGAACACGATAAGTTCATGGGTTTTGATTATGTTCTCGATTTTTGTGGCTATTGGGTGTTGATTTTGAGGAGTGGGAGTGGCGGCTTTGGTGTCGATTTTGGGTGTTTTGTTGGCCGTGTGCGGTGGGGATTTGGTGATGGAACGGTGTTGGTTGGTCGATGTCTTGGTGGCAGTTGCAGTTTGTGTCTTGCAACTGGGTTTGGGTGACTGGCTGTAGTTTTGCAG